TCCTCCCCCTAACATCTTCCGATCTGGCATGTGACCTTTCGCGGTGCGTGGTCCCCGAGGCCCTGGGGCGCGGTGCATCGCCCCGGATCCGCTTCTGAGGCCCCCGGGCCCCGAGAAATGGGCCCCAGAGGCCGACATCGAGGAAGAACGCCAGGGTTGATAAACAAACACTCTGGATCGCTTGACAGTGGCCCACCCTTTTGGGGTGCCTGGTGGGCTTGGCCGCGGCGCGTCCGCCGGGGTGCCAGGGGGGTCTGGGGTTCGTTCCCTTCCCCGCTGGGACGCGGGGGTGGTGCCGGGGGGGTTGGCCGCGCCGCGTTTTCAGGTTTGTCCCCCCCCGGTCGATGAATAAGAAGTTCGGGGCATCGTAGAAGATTTGGGCTCCTCTTCTTCCCTCCTGCTGCCGCCGCCTCTTCGAGGCGGCCGCGCGCGCCCCGCCTCGCGGGGCCCGCTGGCGACGAGGCGGGGCTCGAAGAGCGCGGGCCACTGGATCTGCGCGCGCGAGAAGCCGCCGGGCGCCTCGTCCGCGGGCAGGGGGAGAGGGAAGGGCTGCTGCAGGTCGGCACGCCCGGAACTGGCCATCGCTCGGACGTTCATTCCCTGTGATTTTGTTCGGTTTCGTGCGTTGCTTTTTCGCCAAATGATCAAGGATGCTCCTCGATGGTCCTCGCCGAAGGAAAAATGCACACGTCCGAACGATGCCAGGGGAATGGGCACGGCAGGAACAAGTGCGATGTTGAACAACACATGTTGTTCAGAACCGACAGCGGCCACCGTGGGGCAGGCGACCTGCTGTCTCGCGCGGGGAAGGGCCCGCGGCGACATCGACGGCGAGGTCAGCTCAACATGGCCAGGAACGGCCGTCGGTCTCCGTGCCCACTCACTGCGTGCTGCCAGCGTTGTCGACGGTGCAGGCAAACCAAGCCGAAGTGAGACCCAAAGACTACACCATCTTGCCGCAAGTGAGGCGAGGCCCTGCGGGCAGGGGAGGGATGGAGAGCGGGAGAGAGAGAGAGAGAAGAGGAGGAAAAAGGGGAAGCCAGACATCGAGCGGACTGAATGCCTTCAATCCTTATATAGGTGATCCTTAAACTTGAGTCCCATTTTGGGCCCAGGGGCCATCCAAAACGGACCAGTGCGAAAAACGATACCCCCAGCAGTGCTCGGCCCTGCTGTCTTGTGCTGCCCTCGGCTACACGCAAGAGTGGCCCTAAGCGCGAATGACCTGTGGTGCGCGGCGACACGGGGGACGCGGGGTGGCAAAGCCTGGGCGCGCCAGCTGCTGCTACTGCTTCGCGCTCAGCGATCTGGGGACCCCATTGGGCCCGCATCGAAGGTCACTCCGGCAAAAGGCCACTCTTACGTCTAGTCGATGCCCGGGGAGCGTCTCTTCTAACCAGCCTCGAACTTATCCCTATCCCTAAGATGGGCGAGCAAAAAAGCGAGGACACTCTTGGGGACAGGCCCTCAGAAACTGAGGGAATCCTTAAGATCGGCATCGAGGTGAGGTGATGCCAAACATAGGGACAGGGATATGTTTCAAACTGGTAATCTTCGGCCAGGGGCACGGGACCCTGTCCCAGAGGTTATTCTTGTCCTCGGCGGTCCCCGAGCCCGAGGGCAGGACCAGCGCTCACCGCTCAGCTGCTGTGGGCAGCGGATGCCGCCCCCCGCTCCCGGACACGTGCCAGACCCCTCCGCGCCATGCCGCAGCGCAAGCTCCTGCCGCGCCGCGTCGGCGCCCCCAGACCTCCACGTCTCGATGCCGATGCCGAAGCACACGACTTGAACTTTTCCGCCGGCTCCCGCGGACGGCGGCGGAGCTTCGCGGATAACGTGCAGGAAGAGGAGGAGGTTCAGGAGGAGGAGGAGGAGGAAGAGGAGGTTCAGGAGGAGGAGGAGGAGGAGGAGGAGGAGGAGGAGGAGGAGGAGGGAGGAGGAGGAGGAGGAGGAAGAGGAGGAGGAGGAACAGGAGGAAACAGGAGGAGGAGGAGGAGGAGGAGGAGGAGGAGGAGGAGGAGGAGGAGAAGGGAGGGAAGGAGGGAGGGGGGGAGGGAAAAACCTGCGTGAAGCCTCGCGGACCGACGTCGGAGGCGCTTCCCCGCAGCAGACTGCCGGCCATGACGCGCGAGCCCTCGGGGCGCCATCGAGCCCCCCCCCCCCGGCACCTCTCGGGCCCGGGCGGCCCCGCGAGGGCCCCGGGGCGCGGGGGAGCGCGACGCACCCGGCCTGCGTCGGGGATGGCCAGAACCCCCCTTTTTTAGGAAAACGCGGCTTCGTGAAAACGACCTCGGGCCTGTCCCCCTACATAGGGATTTTCGGCGAACAAATAAAAATAATACCCCACAAATGCCCCCAAAAGGGCAAAAAAACATTCAAAACATAGTTCCCATACTATTTTTGGAATATTCTTCGACTATTTTGGGGGTATTTTTCATTTTTCTCCGAAAATCCCCCAGGCCCGACTTCAGTTTAGTGACAACGACCTCGGGCCCCAACCTGGCGGGCGCAAGCCTGGAAAATGACGGCCGCGGCGCCCTCTCGAGAATCGACAACGGACGATTCACTGATCGACGTGTCAGGGTGGGGGTTCTGTCCACCCCCGACTTGGGGCCCCTCGGACAGGTCGAGACGAAGGTGCTTCAGAGCTCTCGGCCCCTCGGGGCCCGTACTGGGCCTCGCGGGGCCCCGCGGGAGCGTCAAAAACCGGCTCGGGAGGAAAACAACAAAAAAAAAAAAACTACCCGCGGGGAGACGGTCGAGAGGTCAGGGGGGCCCGCGCCTCGCAAAGCTCGAGGAACGCCGGCTGTCTGACGTTTGCGTCCTCGGGGGTGCACTGACGTGGGTCGATGCAGACCCAGGCCAGTCGGACTTTGCAGGATCCTGTCAGGCCCTGCAGGATCCTGCAAGATCGTGCACGCTAGCCCAGGTCAATGCACCCCTGGCCCTGCAGGATCCTGCATGTTTTCCCTCGTCCAATTTAGCAGTTTAACTCCAGACGCCGTCGCAGCGCAGACGCCGTCACAGCGGGAGGGCACAACGCCCTGCAGCCTGGACAAACTGGGCAAACTTAGCATCTGTTGCGCTAATGCCCATTCGTACTACACGACGCAAGTGTATGAGAGGACACGCGGTGACCCTCAGACCCGTGTAGAATGTATCACACACGCTTGGGTGCTTTCTGGCAGCTTCATGTCCAGGCCACCACAAACTTATTATGTGCGCATACCTCGTGCTTGCCCGCAGCTCATAAACGGATGGCGCGGCTGCTTGCCCGAGTAGGGCTGTCTCATTGCCCAGATTGAACGTGCAGCGCCACAAACTCAACGCGGAAACAGCTAACGCGTCGACCGAAAGAGACGGACGGCTCGCACTAGATTGCAGCTGGCATCTCCAGCGATGCTCTCGCAAGAGAGATGGAAAACCTCTCAAGCCCGACTGAGGAGCCGTGGACCACGGATGAACCAGGGCCGGCGCTGAGTCTAATCTCCACGGAGCTCATCCTAACTCGCGGGAGCGGGATCACACAGGGGGAGGGGAGCGAGACGGGTCCGGCCGATGACCTCGGCAGTCGACGTGCGCTTGCCACCTCGGGCTGGCAGGTCAGGAGAGGGGGGGAGCACAACACAAAAGCACGAGTTGCCCAGCGGCCCAGCGCGGCGGTTAAAACCAAGTCTGCTCACGCCAGATCTGCTCACACCAGGGCGGCACTGGCCAAGCATGTATATACAAGTCCGGTCGGACGCCCGAGGGCGCCCCGCCCCACCCGTGGGGACGGCAAGGGGTGAAACACTCGACGCGGCTCGAAGAGCAGGAGGCGAGGGTGGGGGCACTCGACGAGCCTGCTCTCCAAACGACACCACCTCACGCGCGAGAAAAGCGTGACGGCATACACCCCTCGTTGGCTCTGCAGGAGTGCGGAGACACGGTCGGACCATTGGGCCCTCGGCCGGCCCCACATCCGAGCGGCGCTCCTCGGGGTCCAGGCTCCGCGCCAGGGGCTGGCCGACCTCCATGGAGGAGCGAGAATGCGGCTGCATCAGACTGGAATCCATGCGGCTGCTGTGGCTTGCTCTGCCCACAGGCTCTGCGGCAGAGCTGGCATCGCCGAGACGCGTGCGCAGAGGGAGCTATCTCCGCCTGCTGCTCTGGGAGGCCCGTGGCCCGGCGCGCACGCATCAACGCACCTCTCCCCCCCTACCCGCTCTCGGGATAAGCTGGACATGAGCTGCGCCCGCGGAGTCCAGCTGCTTCGGCGGGCACGTGGCCCCACCCCGCAGCCGCGCGCTGCTCGTCACGACGAGCCTCGCGCCCCCGCCTGCGCGGCGGGCGCCGGCCCGGGGCGGGGCGGCGGGAGGCCGCCCTGGCGCGTGCCCTCCCGCCGCCTCGCCCTCAGGACCGCCGCCATGTACTGGTGGTAGCAGCCCGTCGCGGCGCCCGCCACCGCGAGGCCGCCGCCGTCGTCCGCCCTCCGTGCGGCGCCGGCCTCGCCTTCGAGCACGCTGCCGTCCAGCGCCGCGAGGTGCCGCTGGATCTGCATCCTCACGACCTTGCAGGGCCGCGCCCTGCGCGCCTTGCCCGCGCGCGGCGGGCCGCCGCAGCGACACCCCGGCCCGCTCGCGCCGCCCTCCTCCTCCGCCTCGCGGCAGCGGCACGGCGCGCTGCTGGCGGCGTGCGGCCGCCGGCCCCCCTCCCGCCGCTCTGCCTCCGGGCGCCCCCTGGCCTCGCGCCCCGGCCCGCCGCGCCCGCGGCCGCAGCTCGCGGCGGGGGAGCTGCTGGGCGCCAGGGCGGAGCCTCCGCGGCCCCCGCGCGGGCGGTCGTCGCCGCGCGCCGCCCCGGAGCGGCCGCTGCCTGCGGCGGCAGGGGCCGTGCCCGAGAGCGGCTCGTGGCCAGGGGCCTGCGAGCTGCAGCTCGCGCGCGCGGGGCGCCCCCCGGCCGAGATCCCCACGTCGCCCTCGCTGTTGCGGCGCCGGAGTCCAGACGTGTCCTCCACCACCTCCAGGAAACAGTTCTTGACCACCAGCACGGCTCCGTCGGCCCAGCGGACGCCCTGCATCCTGGCGCCGCGGGCGCTGCGCACGGGGGTCCGATCGCGCCACTCGCTCCCCGCCCGGTGTGGCGGGCAGCAGACGGAGGAAGGCCCTGCACACCTCGCGATAGAAAACGGCTACGGACTGACCCCCCGCTTGCATGGACCCCCGCCTTGCTGCTCGTCTGCTTCCGTTTTGCTTCCGCCGGCCAGCCGCGGACAGCGCCGCCCCCGCTTGCCTTCCGGCGGCCTCCGCCGAGGGCCAGGCGCGGCGAAGGCGGCGCCCTCTGCAGACCGCCCCGGACGTGGGCGGCACGGCGCGCCAAAGAAGGGCAGGGGCGCGGGCGGGGCTGTGGCGGCCAGCTGCCAGGGGGCCCAGGGACACACAGATAAGCAGACACAGGTCCTGGGATTCCCCGTATCATCAATCTGCTCTGGATGTTCGTCTTCCCCTCCACTTCCCATATTCCCTATATTTTCCTGGGATGAC